AAATAAAATGGTTCATTTATTTAGTCTAAGATACCAGCTTTAGGAACGGCTGAAGTGCACACCTTAAATGGAGATAATATTGCAATAATAAATTTAAACCATTTAAGGAAGTATCACGAAGATATAAGTATAAATATTATCTATATCTTTGGATAAACATGCGGATGAAACCCTCACAGAGATTCATTATGATGAGCTATTTAAATGCACAAATAGGGTACCCAATTGAATGAAGTATAGGGGTCTAGAAAAATTTTACAAAGTGACATCAAATTTTGTAAAACCATAGGAAGGTAGATTAGTTCTTCAATTATAGGATTTGTAAAATTAATTTTCAGAAATGGATGAAGGGGATATTAAAATCATTTAAGATCTTATTTCCAAGTTTTTCTATCTCCTTATAGAGTTAGATCAGTGGAATTGGATAGGAATAATCTTTCCTGATAAGCTCAGATAAAGATCTGTTCATTTAGAATAGAGGGAAAATATATATCCCTTAGAAAAGACTCGTCTTCATGCTAGAAAAACCCTGAGTGCTTTGTTTTATGAAGAAGTTCCAAAAAAAAAAAAAATCAAAGGATACATTGGACATATATTTCTTTCTCTAGAGCAAGTTTTCCCTCAAAATCTTGCTAGTATGGTCTATACAAATTTTCTCTAGGCAATACAAAACGTAAAAGAAAACAAAAGAAGGGGCGGATACTCTAAGAGTAATATCTATATTTTTCTTGCTATATTTTATAAACTCTACCAACAAACCATGAGGATTAATAAGTAGAAATTACTAAGCTAATAAAGAAAAAAAAATTCCACAATACATTTGCATACAAAAGCAAACAAAGGCAAGAAAATAAAGCTTAAGGCTAACATAGTAAGATAGAGCAACTTAAGTAACTTGGAGGTAACTAAGGAATTTTTTTTTCTCTCTCGCTCTTTCCCTCTCACCAACTTTATGCCTATACCTTTGCCAAGATGCACCGACACTCTATAGTTCCAAAACAATGTATGGCAGCTTAAATGTTGTCTATGGCCACGCAAGAGCAAATGCCATTGTCACCACCTACTAAGTTAAGTGCATTTTTAATTGGGCAAAATGAATTTGTCCTCATGCCACCGCCACAAGCCATCAACTCCACTCTTGCATCGTTAATGCAAAAGCACCACGATTGGCAAACTACACTGTCTCCTAGTTGTTTAATGCCAAATGGTTCACCTACAAATCTCCATGGATGGCAAAAATGCCTAGACAAGATAAATATATGGAGGAAATCTCATTCGGCAACGAGGAGCCGAATTATAACCAAGTAAAGCTATCTAGGCAACTTATGCTTCTCCCTAAGATAAATTTTTGCTTAATGCCTTTGGGTTACTCACTTATGCAAGGGATCAAGCTTATATAGAAGTGGTACTCAAAGGAGCATATTTTTCTTTTTTGTGGGCGAGTTCATCCCTTTGGACTCACTCAGTTTACTCGGATTTTTCATTTAGACAACAAGGGTGAAATAATCACGATAAGCAAGAAGGATTGCATGCCCAAATAATATGTCCTCCCAAAACTACACATCTAGACAAGGAAGCAACTTCACCTACTTGAAACCTGACTATCATGTTAGGTTTAAAGTGTTATAGGCCATCATCAACAAGAGGATGATTGCGCAAAATGCTAGCATCAAGATAGCCTACATGTTGGAAGCTAACGTGATTGGATGGCAAATAATCATAACTCATTTTACCTACAACGGATTACTAGCTAAAATGAAAAATGTTACCTTATAAGTAGGCAAGGGAAGGCAAATGAAGATGAGAATCTTTATATTTTTGTGGTGCATCTATAAGCATTACACCGCTCAAATGAATCCCATGCCTCACTTTGCCATTGAGCCACCACCTCCAGTACCTCCTCCAAGGGAGATAGCAAGGGATGTGAAAGTGGAGGAGAATATAGATTCAAGGGAGGAAAATTCTCCCCTTAAAAAGAAACTCTGTCTAGATCTAAAAATCCAAGCTACGAGACCTCTAGGGTTCATTCTGCAGAAATCCAGTGGCCGATTATGCCGCAAAAAAGCTGGAGGTGGCAAGTATGGTGATAAAACGCCACACCTGGATCAGGAACAATGTCTACAAAGACAACACTGATGCCTATACAAATCTCCCTAAGCATCAGAAAAGTGACAAGTACATAAATAAATAACATTAAGCAAACAATGGATGCCAAAGTTGTGGAAACAATTCCAAAATTTAGGCCACAAGGTCCAATACATGATGTGTCTACAGATGTTGCAAAATCATTGGCCGTAGATACAGCCAATGAGGTGCGTTTAGGCTAAGAATATTACGGCCAAGAAACTTAATGGGATGAGGTTACAAAAGAGGGTCTAGGTGAATTAGAGGAGTATGGGTTAAGTTTTCTCTAGACCACTTATGCATTTGATAGTGACACACCTTTAGCCGACAAGTCTAGTGAGATGAGGCAGCCACAACAGCAATAAACATTGTAGCAACATAAAGTCAAGGCTAGCTATGCCTTCGCTCACAAGTCCGTGAGTCAGCCTAGCGAGCTAGCAATCTGAAACTTCATGGAGGAGTTGACTCAACACATTAAGGGAGGCAAGTAGCTAGTTGACAAGTTGAGGCAAGTGGTAGAAGATGAAGAAACTACAAAGTACCATAAGTCTTAAGCTACCTCAAAACAATCACCAAGAAAATGGATAGAGTCATGGGTGAATAGAATCATCAGTGCCACATAATCCATGAGCTCAAGAATGCAATCTCGACTTCTACATCCATCGATGCAAAGTGCATTAGCTATCAGGACCCATATTGCCATGCTCGACCAAAAGAATCAGATCATGCATCAAGAACTTGACGATCTACGCCAAAGCATCAAGCTTGTCACTATGAAGACCAAGTTTAACAACTTAGAGCAAAATTTGGAGAATCTAACTGCTTGAGGACAAGTAATAACTTTGTTGTGGGGGAGTGATAAAGAGGTAAATATTTTGTTTTATATATCTTCCCAAGTAAAGCAAAAGAAGGAAGATTAAGCAAAATAGAGTTATGCCTAAGCTGAGGCATCCAAAAAAGAAAAACCTAACATAAGCAATGCTTTGTTTTAGACAAACGAGAAGCAATTAGGAACAATTATAAAATCATGTGTATATAAGTAGCATTTAGATGTGTTGGAAAATAACCCCCATTCACTATTGTATACATTTGTATTGAATTAACTATCTTTTCTCCCACTTATGACTATTTGTGAAAAATAAAGTTGAGAAAGTGACATATATTTATCCTTACTTACGCCTTTAGGGTTTAAAGCTAAGTTATCTTCTATTCTTTTATTCTCTTCTTTGTCTTTAAGTTCTGAATAAAACTTATAGAGGTTGTGAGTGAAACTCTTCCAAATGGTCAAAAGTGTAGTTAAGTGGCTAAAATAAAATGAAAAATTTAATCATTTACATTCTTCTTCTCTTTTCTCCTTCTACATTCTTGTTTTTGTTTGTTTATCACTTTTTTGTAGGCAAGGGTGAGAACATGAGTATAGGTAGATAAAGCCTTACTCTAGCAAAAGTAGAAACCATAACACTCTCATCAACTAAGTTTGATTATTTAGTTGTAGCCACATAACATCAAACAACTATACCAATTGTTACTCCAAAATCAAAGGAGAAAAAGGCTATTGCAAAAGAGAAGTATATTACTTTATTATGAAAATGAATGAAAATAATGAGAAAGATAAAATAGAAAAAGTGGAAAAGCTACAAGAATAAAAGAGATCTAGATATTAAATTAAATCTAAATAATTTAAGCACTTTTTATGGACAATGAAAATTGCTCCTCACCTCTACTAATTTGACTATATTGAAAAATATGCATATTTAATTAGCTTGAAAAACTTAGTTTATATATATAAATGAATTAAAACTAATTCAATAGTTACCAAAATCTCATTATACTAATAATAATATATGGTATCGTAGTTGTACACTTGAATTTATTTCAATTTTTAACATGTTCAATTATATTAGTTGTTGATATAAAACCATTTCTTTGTTCATTTCATTTAGGGTTTCATTTAAGCTTTTGATGGAAAGCTGAAATGGCACCTCTTCCCCCATTTAGGGTCTATGGTGCCTCACAGCTATGGTGCTGCCAAGGATTCCAAAGGATAGGGAGGGATTATGGCGACCCAAGTACCAGCACTGGCTCAAGGGCTTTCCTTTCCAATGAAGCACAACCAGCAGGGGAAGCCATGGCCATGGCCGAGCCATGGCCGAGCCATGGCTAGGACTAGTGCAGCAGCCACGACTATGAATAGCCATGCCCTGGAAGCCACAACCAGTGGCCCTCACAGCTGCTATTGCAAGCTAAGAAGGAAGCTCCAGAGGAACTGTCAATTGAGGCAAGATATCTTTCGTTTTTCCTTTTTTGGTGGCATACCATGTAATGTGGTTGCTTTTCTTGTCAGAAGAGATGGATCCATGAGGAGGATGCTCGGCAGAAAAGGGAGAGGTGTTTTTGAATCCATGAGCCGAGCTAATAAAAAGCGTATTTATTACTCAAATAAAAAGCGGATTTATTACTCAAAGTAAATGCAATTTCACATATCACATCGCAGTGTTTACTATAAACATGTTTGCATTTAAGAAAGTTTAGAAATTATAGGCACTTTGCCTAATCTCAAAGGAAGGATTAATATAGCTGTTATTAATGCCATGCCTTGGCATACCCTGTCTGCTTCTCCTCACTTTGCAATCGTCATCTTCACAGCATCCCTGAGGCCATGGCCAGCAGCAAGAGAGCGTCCACCTTACCTTCACTCCACGATAGCCCTTTCTATTGCAGCACCTGGATCCATGCGGCTCTTGTTGAACTTCCGCCACGGTCTTCTTCGTCTTCTGCTGCCGCTTCACCTTGATTTTCTTGCCTCCGAGCAGCCTTGAGCAACTCTTCTTTTTCTTCAAGAATAGACTAAATGGGGCAACCTTTGCACCCCGCTCTTATCTAGAGCCTCTGAGATTTGCGTTTGAGTGAACATATTTTTTATGAGTTATACAAAATTGAGAGCTGGCTGGGTTTATGTTTCAAAAAATTGCCGAGCAAATACCTCTCACTGTGTCTGGAGTCGTTCGGCAGCAGCCACCAATCACATTAGCCCCAGCTCGCTTCCAGTTTTTGACAAACGCCATAAAATCCTTTTCACAATTCTCTTCATGCTGAAATAGGAAAAAAGAAGCAAATACTAGGAAACTATAGAAACTCTTTCTTGTACCTTCCAAAGTTTGGTCTTCGGGTCATATTGCTCTCCACTGTTAGGATAAACCACGATTGTTTTTGAGGTAGCCTGGTAAAAGTTTCAGGCATGAAATCAAGTCAAAGATTTTAAGGTACCTTGCGAGCTTCGTGAATAAGTCCTTCCACAAAATGTGGAGGACAGCAGTTGATTCCCACAGCCACAACTTTGTCACACTTATCGAGCATGGCTATGGATTCCGAGAAGTTGTCTCCAGACACCACATTTTTCCCGTCTTTGGAGCTAAATGCTATCCATGCTGGTACGTCAATATCCTCCTCTCCGAGCAACTCGATAAAAGCCTGAGCAAAAAAAAACCGTGTTTTTTCCTTAGCAGTTTTTTATTCATAAATTATCAAACCTGAGCTTCGAGTTTGCTGGGAATTGTTTCGATGGCAAGTAAGTCTGGGCCGCAGCTGCTAAGAATTTGAAGCCTTCGTCGATGGAAATCTTTGAGCTTTTTTAGAGTCATTCCTGGACCATAGTCACCGCTGAAACAAAGAACAAGTTTAATGCTTCCGAAAAAAAAGAGGTGGAAGAACTTTTAGAGTACCTATACTCGGAACCATCTGCTAGAAACGCTCCATAGCTTCCAATCGAAGCTGCGACTAGAGGACGATTAAATCTCTCAGCTTTTTGAGCTCTCTTTGTCCTCCAGAACCGATCCCGAGCTTCGCAAGCCAGCGTCACGCTTTTGCGGAGAAGAGCTTCGCTTTCTTCCAGACTGATCCCACGAGACTGAAATCCTTGAAGTGTGGCCTGGACGAAACAACACCAACGCTATCACTTTAACCAAAATACTTGGCATGCATCACGGAGTTGAAGCTTTGGAGCAAGCTAACTTAACACTAGAAAGTCAAACAATAACTCAATCATCTAAAGCCGTGGACAAAAACAAGGAACTACTTCGTCAAGAAAAAAACAGAATCGAACTTTTAGAAATCGATAGAAAACAAAGTAAGCTCTGAACGAATCAAACAAGAAACAGGCTCGTATAAACTCAAGATAAGAGAAAATGCCGTAGGAAAGAGATTAGAAGGGAAACTTGAGATTTACCTGATACGAGGATGTGACAAGAACTTCCGCTCCCGATTCCAAGTACTCCCAATGCACCTATCCAATCCAAAAGAAGACAATCACTCCCAAAACTCCAGCCAAAGCAAAGCAAAGATCTTTCCACCCATCCATTCAAACAAAAACCGCAAGAACGAAAAAAACCTTAGCGATGAGGCCCGGATTGGTGATGAGGCAGAGCGCGCTCCACAACGGATCGTTGAGGAGAGCGCCGTGCTTCTCCAGCTGCGTTGCAAATCCGCCATCCTTGACAACGCATCCCTTGTGCCGCACTAGCTCTTCCAAGCAATCGAAGCCGCCAGGCCTCGCATCAGACCCCATTGTCTATCTATTCTCTTCTCTAGGGCTCTAGAGCTTCTTCCAGCCTGCCTAGATCTATCAATCCTTCTTTTTCTTTCCTACCTAGATATCTGTGTGTGATTTTATCTACATTTGTTGGCCACTTTTTCTCCACATTCTTCCATTCAAAGCAAGAGAAGGACGACGTGTTTAACGCAGGCAACTTTCAAGCCAGCGCAGGTTGCCGCCTGCCTGCCAGTCCGGTGTCAGAAGAAAATCAACACACAAATGGACTTTTTAGTGGGTTGGTAGCAAACGGAACTGTACCTGGTCATCCAAACGGGATTGTACCTGGTCAAAACGTGTGTCCAGATGAACAGTTGGCTGTTTTTTCAGTTGAATCTCTATCTCTTCTTTTGCTACCACATTTCCAAAATAAGTTTATTTTTATCAGCTTATAATTTCAAGATATTAAACAAGCATATGATCCAACTTTTCTTTCATGACTTTTGGCTGTTTGTTGATGCACTTTGCTGCTTGTCTGCCACATCTTGGGTCCTTGTTTGTCCCTGTTCCTCAGATTGTTTATGAGCGAACGCACCAACTCAATGCAACGGCACCGCCGCAAAGTCGCTGGATATCCCAAGCAGCTTGAGATTTGCTAGAGCCACAATGCAACAAAACAACTCGTATTAAAACAAGGGGATGGTACAAGAAACTCTCAAACACGTCAACATCGCTGATCTTCCGACGTGCATGCCCTAGAGCTCGAGAATTGCCACGGCTGGGCTCGTTCTGGAGGCAGACGGAAAAGAGAAAAGCAGAGACTCCATCAGCACTGAAAACAGCAATTCGATACCAGCTTCTTACCTGAGCTGCGTCTCGCAAAGCCCTGGAGGCGAGCAATCACCGGCAGCTTATTCTTTTCCGCAAACTCTCGACGCCAGCGGAAGCGTCGCGGCTCCATCGCTTATCTTGGACGAGTTGGCCATCAGTTACCGGTTTTCAAGACCGGCATTTTATCCGGATCAAACTGGCATTAAACAAACAGAAAAAAGCGTTCACTTGAAACACATCAATGAATTGAAAAGCAAAATACCCGGGAACACTCTTCAATGATACTGACTACAGAGATCTGTTCTTCCTTTGAGATTCCCATTTCCCGAGCGCAAGATTCGGCATAAGCTCCCATCGTGTTGTTTGTGAAGGCCCATCACAAAACATGCTGTCCTTCATAGTCAAATCCTCCAGGAGCTTCTGTGAAGGATTCTGGCGTGGATTCGCCATGCTTTTCCATTCCGCCAGCCACGACGAGCTCAAAGCATCTAACATCACCGCTGTCTAAAATGCAGGAAACAATTCTTTACGAACTGTAACAAAGATATGAAAACTCTACAAACCGTTCACAAACTTTGTCTCACAGTTGTGCAAATCGTCTTGAAGAAGCTCCAGTTCAACACCAACCATACTTTGCATCAAGACGAGCAAGAATCACGATTGTATTGAAGAGTCAAAGAGGAATAGAGGAAGAGTAGCTTTGGAACAAGTTATTCACATAACTAACATTTAATCGCCGCTGCGCCCGAGCCCTCACGGAAAAGAACCCTAAATTCCAATGTAACATACACAAAACACTATGATCATCACCCAATGCTCTGCTAGAATCCTCTATTTACACTCTCTTGCCATTCTCATTCTCACACAAATCATCTGGAATTGGGGGTAATAGTAGTGAGAGCTGATGCTTTTCTTGATCTTGTTCGTGCTGGAAGTTATCATCGCCTAAGAAATGTGATGGCAATTGATAGGACACGAGCGATGCCTGGACTTGCAAGAACTTGGCGCGCTCAATCACAACCCTGTACATCGCTTCCAGCGACTCGGCATGCTGCTTGAGCTCCTCGATTCCCATGCCGCTCACATCCTCCTCCCACCACTGCAATCCCCGCCCTCCTCCTCCTCCTCCCGCGAACTCCCTCTGCAAGATGGCGTGCTTCTCATTCTCATTCTCCAGCTCCTGGAGCAATTCGTTGTACTGCTTCTCTAGCTGTCGGATCCTCTCGATCTTCTCGCAATTCACCTGCACGGGCCGCTTGAGCGTCTTGTCGATCACGTAATCGATGCAGGGATGCCCGAAAGAGAAGGCCTTGCCCGCCTGCGAGAAGACGATGATCCCCACCTCGGAGCCACAGAGGATGGACAGCTCGCTCGCCTTCTTGATCAGACCCATGCGGCGCTTGGAGAAGCAAACCTGGCGGGCGCTGCGATTCTCGATCTTCTTGATCTCGATCTTGGCCCGCCCCATGTCCAAATTCACAAGAGATTGATGATAGAATCGATTGGATCACAGCGCAAGAACGAATCCTCTCGCCAATGCCAAAGAATCGCTCCAAAACTCGCCCAAAATCACCGCGCACTGTGAGCTCGTCCACCGCCACGTGGCAGTAGCTTCCACACTTGGCTCCCATCTGGCTATGGCGGACATACTAAACTGGAAGAGATTTCCTTGCGATTCTGGGAGAAAAGCGCGTCAGGGTAAAATTAGTAAATCCGAAGGGGTAAAAGAACTTTTAACTTTTTTAGGGCTCTTGAGGTTTAGGGTTCTTGCGGCAAGGATGAATGGGAACGATTGAATCTCCACTTCCTCTGAAGAAATCCACGCCGCCATCGCATCCTCTCACGAAATGGCAGCAGCAGCAGCAGAATTCTTCAAGCAATCGAGCGAATTCCTTCGGTGAGCGTGAGAGCTTGCACAAATCCATTCAGCTCCTAGAGTCGCGCGAATTGGAACTCGATCCCGTCGGCTATGCTGCGCTCATCCGCCGCTGCGGCGCCGCCAATGCCATCTCCGCCGCGCGCCGCCTCCATTCTCACATTCTCTCCCTCCCGCACAGCAATTCGCAGCCCCCATTTCTCGCCAATCTCCTCATCGAGATGTACGGCAAGTGTGGCCGGCTGCCGTACGCGCGCGAGCTCTTCGAATCCATGCCTTCCAGGAACGTCCACACCTGGACCGTGGCGATGGCAGCCTTCTCCCACAATGGCTGCCACAGCGAGGCGCTCGTCTTCTTCCGGCGGATGTACCAGTCCGGGGAGAGGCCCGATCGAGTGACTTTCAGCGTGATCTTAGCAGCGATCGCGCAGATGGGCGCGGCCGCGATCGATCAGGGGAGGGAGATCCATCGGTACGCGCGGATCAGTGGGCTGCTGCCCAATGTGGTGGTGGGCACTGCGGTGATCAGCATGTATGGCAAGTGTGGCCGATTGGACGACGCGAGGGCGGCCTTCGAGGAGCTCCAGTGGAAGAACTCGGTGACTTGGAACGCGATGATGACGAACTACAAGCTGGATGGGAGGGATCGCGAGGCCCTGGAGCTCTTCCGGGAGATGTGCGAGCGCTCGAGGAGCGCGAGGCCAGATAAGTTTAGCTTTAGCATCGCGATCGAGGCTTGTTCTAACTTGGAGGACTTGGAACAGGGGAGGGAGATCCATGAGATGCTTCGCAGGGAGGGAAAGGAGCTCCACAAGGTAGAGTTTTCTTCTTTCTCTTGTTCTTCTAGTTTTTTTATAAATTCTTTTCTAGTTTTCTTCGAAGTTCTAAGTTCTAGTTTCCTTCCAAGATCTCGTTGTTCTTCTAGTTTTCTTGCAAGTTCTCTTTTGTTTTCGTTTGTTCTTCTAGTTTTCTTCTAAGTTCTCGTTTGTTTCTTTCAAGTTCTCGTTTGTTTACTTCTAAGTTCTCGTTTGCTCTTCTAGTTTTCTTCCAAGTTCTCGCTTAGTTTCTTCTAAGTTCTCGTTTGTTCTAGTTTTCTTCTTTCTCTTGTTCTCTTGTTCTCGTCTTTCTCTTGTTCTTCTAGTTTTCTTCTTTCTCTTTTGTAATCTTCAATGACAACTTCCACTTCCAGGACGTGGTGGTTGGCACCGCATTGCTCAACATGTACAGCAAGTGTGGAGATCTGGAAGAAGCCCGCAAAGTCTTCGACTCGATCAGGCACGACGCCGATTCAGTCTGCTGGAACGCGATGATCGCCGCCTACGCGCAGCACGGCCGAGGCAAGCAAGCACTCGACCTCTACAGATCCATGCACGACACCACCGATCTAGCACCGAAGCAGGGCACTTTCGTCACGGTGATCGACGTCTGCGCGGAGCTCTCGGCGCTCAAGCAAGGCCGCGCCATCCACGCCAGGGTCCGAGCCACGAACTTCGACGCCAACTTGCTCGTCTCCAACGCACTCGTTCACATGTACGGGAAGTGTGGCTGTCTGGACGAAGCTCTCGACGTCTTCCACTCCATGAAGCTCAAGGACGAGATCTCGTGGAACACCATCATCTCCTCGTACGCTTACCACGGCCACAGCGATCAAGCGCTGCTGCTCTACCAGGAGATGGATCTCCAAGGTGTGAAGCCGACCGAGGTGACCTTCGTCGGGCTTCTCTCGGCTTGCAGCCATGGCGGCCTCGTCGCCGACGGCCTCGACTACTTCTACCGCATGCAAGACGACCACCGGATCAAACCGAGCGTCCCACACTTCGGCTGCATCATCGATCTCCTCGGACGAGGAGGGAGGCTGGCGGAGGCCGAGCTGGTGCTCAAGTCGATGCCGATACAAGCCAACGCCGTGCAGTGGATGTCGCTGCTCGGGGCTTGCAAGACGCACGGAGATCTCAAGCGAGGGGTGAGAGCCGCGGATCAAGTGGTGGACAGGGTGCCGTGGACTTCCGGGGGATACGTCTTGCTCTCCAACATCTACGCCGCGGCCGGGCGGTGGAAGGACGTGGAGAAGATCCGGAAGATCATGGCTGCGCGGGGCGTGAAGAAGAGCCCCGGGAAGAGCTGGATAGAGATCGGGGACGTGGTGCATGAGTTCGTGTCCGGGGATAGGTCACATCCACAGGGGGAGGAGATTTACGTGGAGCTGGGAAAGATGGTGGAGGAGATGAAAGGGCTGGGATACGTGCCCGATACGAGCAGCGTATTTCACGACTTAGAGGAGGAGGAGAAGGAGGATTTGCTGGTTTGCCACAGCGAGAAGCTGGCGATTGTCTATGGGAATATGGTGGTGCCTGGGAAGTCGATGCTGAGGATCGTGAAGAACTTGAGGGTGTGCTTGGATTGTCACACCGCTACCAAGTTTATGTCGAGGATTACCGGGAGGAAGATCGTTGTGAGGGACGCTGCGCGGTTTCATTTGTTTGAGAATGGTAGCTGTTCTTGCAGGGACTACTGGTAGATTGATCATATCATATCAACTTTTAGTAACTATCAAACTTACAGGAACATTGCTTGAGTGGATTGATCTTTCTCTCAGAGTTTGGGAGTTTAGAAAACAAGGAGCTCAAGGCTTTGAACCGATAACTTGTGCTCCAAGCTCGCCGACGCTTTGGTGGAGAGGCCTTCTCAGTATGCTCGAAGAGTGGGGCCTCATTCTCAGAAACATGCATCACTTGCTCAATTCACTCAGAACACACCAGGTTTGGCAACAAAATCCCTCAATTTTTCCTTTTTTTTCTTGTTCTCCAGGCTAGAGCGACACTCAAATGCATAAACGAAGAAGCTCGCAAGTGAGCATTTGGATTCATCTTTTCGTGTTCATATTTCTTTCTCTTTGATTCTGTCAGGAGGGCAAGATTAATCCTAGCTGCCACACTAGAAATATTACCCAGCAAAGAATGCTGTGAGCTGTTTTCTCCGTGGTGTTCATGGATTGTGCACTTGATGATCCTGGAGAGAGCACCACAAAGCAACTGGGCTCTTTCCTAATTGTTTTCATTTTCGATCCATCCAGATAGATTAATGTAATTTTATATCAACTGTTAGACAACATCCAAACGAGCCGCTCGAACCTCAGTCATCCTTGTAATCTGTGTAGTTGCCCTCCGGACCATTGCAGTAGGGGACTGTGCCGTCATTTTCATCCTCCGGACCACAACAGCTAAAGCATACGGTGAACATCGTTTCCATAAAAGAGGCCAGCTCCACCAATCTGTTGGGAAACTAGAAAGTTAGAGCAACAAAACAATGTAGAGATCAAAAAGAAAAAAATGACCAACCACGTAATCAATTTCCTGTTTGGTTCATCAAATGCCGGAAACATAGAATTGAACTCCACTCTTGCACCTCCAAAGATAGCATAAATCCCAGACAATTCTGGCTAACATAGATATCCTTCTTTTCTTTTGGTTTTTCTTCCCATAATTGAACCACAAGTGGATTAAGTTTAGCAGCCCAAAAGAGGACCCCCTGTCAACATGTAAGCCATTTCCTCACACGTCCTCCTTTCACCTTCGTTGAGAGGATATCTGTGCCCACAGGGGAATCCCACCAGCAGCCATCTGCTACTCCTTTTAGACTTGAGCTTCAGAAACTCTTAGTAGATTGTAGAGCCAGTATGATCAGCTAAACTGGACAACGATAGGGATTTTACCCCGTTGCTGTAAAGATTGTATGTCAACGTGGGCCTGTTTTAACTTCCTCCACTTCATGCTTGCAGTCAGTGGATATTGATACTGCTCTTGTTCTCGTCGATTTGAAGTGTCTCCTCCACCTTTCCATGTCGCACTACAAGTCTCCCACCACTGTGATTACCTGGAGGCTGACTGGAAATGTAATCTGCATGAAGTCGACATTTTCAAGGTGAAAGCATCTCGTTTAGCATCCCGCTTGTTAGAACCATTCTTCTGTCGCGGCTTCTTCCCAGCTCAGGACCAAAGATGCAACGAGGCCATCCCGCGGTATATATACGTGTGTTTTAAAATAGTCCCCAGCTCGGTACAGAGTCAGCTTGTGCAGCTCAGCCCTGAGGCTGGTTGCGTTTGGGACTAGTGTGTCCCTCACTATGTCCAAAATCTCGTAGTTTGCTGGATGGAAGTCTGTCACAAACTCTTCAGGATTGAGCTTGACTGACTTGCGATAGCTCGGATCATAAACATCCGAATCACCTGAAAGTCATGAAGTTCTCTTAACATAATTCAATGTCTCATGCAGAGCATCTGCCTTTTCCAAATGGTGCATTACTGCACTCACAAGCAAGCTTCTCAATCTCCGCCGGAAGTGTGATAGAAATCAGGCACTACATGAACAATATGGATAGTACTGGTTGAAAACAGCATTATATCTACTCACCTGCTGCTTTGTTGAGTATACAATTCGTATGTCATTAATTTCGAACTGGTTGGCCTGGAGGAAGCTCAGGTAATGTGGACTCATCCTCAAACGGTGGAACAAACTTGATTGCTTGAACAAGCTTTTTATCAGCTTCGGAACGTGCTATTCTTACTCGTGGATCAGAAGGCACATTCTTCCTATACCTGGAAGGTAAGTTCATGAGCAGAAGGAGCTCCAACTTCGATGAGTGAGGATAATGGAAACGAAGCTTTCTATGTCGGTAGCTTTCTTTGCCGCATGACAGTCTCTGGCCACCCTTTCCAAAGACGGCATTCTCAGAGAACTTGTTTGAGAATTTGGTATAATCTGCCACAAATTAAGAACCATCTTAGAAACCAACTGCCAACCAAAAAATGGCTTATACCTCGACAATGTTGCCAATAAACAAATCTCGAACATGAAAGACATGAACAGCAGTAATATCTTTGATGCGTGAAGCGTCTTTGACAGAGGGATGTCGTACGCGAGCCATGAGCCGAACAGATGAGCTTAGCCTCAAGCTATGCAGCTGGTTCAATCCTCCATTACTACTAACATCCACATCCAGGACTTCAAGGTTCGGAGCATTCAGTTTAACGCTTTTGTCATGACGTTCAACTCCAAGACACTTGAGAAACTTGAGACTGGAACTGTGGAGCATGAATTCGTAGAGCAGAGAATCTTGGCCAGTAGAGCACAAGCATCTCTAGAGCAGGGCATGAACTCACAAACTAGGACAACTTCTTGGATTTTCCGTAGCCAGCTGATTTCACCTTCAAGCAGCAGCGAACGAATCCGTGAAGCTTGACTTCTCGAGGATACGTACCTACAATCGATTCACAGGAAATCGAGAAAGAGTGTAACTTCGGGCACGCTGCAGCCACCTTACAGCTGAAAGACCATGGTATGCCGCCGTCGGAAATATAAAAGTCTAAAATCTCAAGTGATGCACGAGAGTGTAAATTGTTCAAAAGCTATGAAGGAAAGGAACAGACACAAAACGAAACCTGCTTGAAAGCAGCTTAGAAATACTGACAGGCGGTGTGTTGATGCGGAGACGGCGAAGGCCAGGCCTTTCACGCAGGGTGCTGCACAAAGCAGCCTCGATCACCTCGGGAACGTCGGGAAACTTGCGCAAAAAGTTGAGCTCCAGTCTAGGCATGTAGCTGCTCCACTGCTTGCACACTTGACCTAGCTCCAATGCTCGATCCTGACTCCTGAACAGCAGTTCATGCGGCAACGAACCTCTGGGTTAGTTAATGAACAAATCCAAAGAATCACCTCGCCGCGCATTGCTGAAAAGCGCGTCAGGGTAAAAGGTAACTCCAAAGGGGTAAAAGAACTTCTAGGGTTTTTGTGGCTCTCTTGCACGCAAAGATGTGGCACGGCCAAGTGTGGAGAGTCACACGGCTGGCACCAGCAACCATCAGGTGGTACCGAAGAGCTTCACTGAATCAAAGGTGGTCTGAAAGTTGTGGTAACGTGCGAGATTTTATGGTGGTGGTCGGAGGAGTCGCTGTAAGAAGATGAGTAGGAGCATGTTCTTGAAAGGCATCGATCTGTGGTGGTGGTGATCTCCGTTGAAGATCGAGAAGCTCTTTCTTGAAGACTATATAGTTGCTGGAACTATATGTGGCTATGTTGTGTCAGTAACTGGATCTCCACCTCTTATGCCATCATGGATCTACCCTCACTTATGCTGACAATTGCCTTGGCTGCCCCTATCCAGCTCCTCTTCCACCAAGAACAAGGCTAGCTCTGTCTCAATGAAATTAATTTGATGGCTCATGGGTTGCAATGGGAAGTGGGAATGAGGTGATGACAAGGTATCTATCATCAAAAGTACTATTAAAGCTTTTTCTTGAATGTGCTTCATTTGGATAGGGACCAGAGCAGTTGATCAAGCATAGTAAAACGTGGACAAAAGCAGATTATATGGCCTTGATACACCTCAAGCACCATGAATACTTGCTGCGCTGGGAAGAAAGGAGAAGGTTGTTATTCTATGTTCAATGGCAGCAGATTGCAAACAAGATGGAAAGTGTAACCATTAGCAGATGCAACTGTGCATGGCAAAATCTGGTTGTCATATCCAGGGATCTAGGTGGCACCTTGCAGACTATTTCCCACTCTCTGAAGAGGTGAATGGTCACAAGTGATCCTTGTGCATTGCATATGGACCAAGAGATTTTTGAGGCAATGACTTGTTTTCAAGCTTTGCTATTTAGTACACATGATTATTAAAGATGTCTCTTGAAAAATCTATTTTATTGAAATAATGAGGAATTGAACATATAAAATATTTATTTCAATATATAAGTCCAAGTATACGGCTACAATGCCATATACTAATATTAGCATAGTGGGATTTTGGTAGCTATCAGATTGGTTTCAATCTGAACCATATAAACTAGGGTTTTTGGGTTAATTGATATGTATATTTTCTATATATTCCATGTACTCACATTGGTGGAGATGAGGGGTACCTTTGATTGTCCTTGAGGAGTGTTTAGATTTAGAATTTTAGTTTAAATCTAACTTTTGCATCATCTAAATTTAGTTTTTTCCATTTCCTTTCTTTTGTTCTTTCCTTTTAGGATTTTGGTTTAGATCTAATTTTTGCATTGTTTAAATTTCCTTTTTCTTCTAGGTTTTTTTCTTTTCTCTTATTTTTCTCTTTCCTTTTTATTCATTTTCATGGTAGAGCAATAATCTCCTCCTTTGACTTTAATGCAACAATTGATGCAATTGCTTAGTGCTATATGATTGCAATTGAACAACCAAACTCAGTTGATAGCTAGCACGTGGTATAGCTCTTCCTACTTTTGCTGCCAATCCTCACATTCGGCCGGAGTTCTTTCGTGGGAATCATGGGGATGATATGAACCATTGGTTTAATCACTTCATGGTGATTGCCACATATCATTCTTGGGATGATGCTTGATATTTGCATAAATTTCCTACGTGTCTTCAAAAGATGGCACTACAGTGGTATAATAGTTTAAGTGCAACCACTTGTAGAGATTGGAGTGTTCTCTCAAACATTTTTAAACACGCATTTGGACATGCCAAGCCTCGGCTACCACGAGACTCTCATGTCATGCTCGCCCTTGAGCACGAGTAGTGAGCTGAACGAGGCAGAGAGGGCCGAGGCTGGTGTTGGAGCCGGCCTTATGAGGCTGTCAGTGGGATACACTGGGACACTGGAGTAGCGGTGGAAGCAACTGCATGATGTGATAATGCCTTCCAACAATTGCATCATCTTCGTCAAGAGCTATCTAAGTCAGTGATGTAATTTGGTGTTCGTTTCCGAAGCATCTTGCTTCGTGTAGAGCCAAATATGTCGGAGTGGATCAAGCTAGGAATGTTATGGCCAACACTTTGTTAAGATCTTGTTGGACTCGTACATGCACTTGCTCTAGCCACCCTTGATGATGCTTTTCGCTTGGTACAATGTTATAAAATGTCACCTCTTCCACTTCTTGCTGTGCGTTCTTCAACTCCACTTCCTGTGGGTGATGGTCCTATTCCAATGGAGGTTGATGCTACTACTACTCGAGTTTAAGGACAAGGGTGAGGACATGGTCATGGCTGTGATGTTCACTGTTGGGCATGTGATGTTGGTCACATTTATCAACATTGTCAATGTTTTCCAGATTGATAGGCCCCATTTCCTGGGTAGAGACTTTGGTGTCAACAACATACTGTTAGTGCTGCTGTAATGGAAGGTCTAGACACTGAGATGCATCCAGGAAACAAGGAGTCACATAAATAACGGAGGGATCTTGTGCAAATAAGTCAGTGACCCCTTCATCTTTCTTTTAGGAGTATCATCAAGGGGTTCACTCAACACCAATTCATCAAGTGTTTACTTTCTAAGCTCGCTTTTATAACAAGAAGTCTTTTATTATTTTCTTCGTATTGGTTGATACAAGTTTGAGCTTATCTTCTATCGCTCGATCTATTGCCACACATTGCCGTCAACACTTACGTTGTGTGGTAGAGCTAGTTTTTATTCTTTATGGCAACGGCCATACACATGTACATGCATGGGATGAGGTGAACCTAGTTGTGCGTGTGGGCAATCTCAAGCTTGGGTTGTAGTCATTGTGGGGGGTGCCGAATTAAACTTTTGACCTCATCCTTGGTATAGATTTTTTGCAGCATAATCATGCCAAGTGTGACTTTGAGGTTTCTCCCTTTTATCTCATACTTCTTTATATTTCATCCATTCCTCTCACTTCCATACCTCTTCGTCCTTTTACTTTTACCTTTGCTTCCATTACTTTTGTCTCCCCATACTTCTTCTTATGTTTCTGTCTTATTTCACTCTTTCCTTTTCCGATCCCTTTGACAGTCTTTGTGTTGCAGCGGTTGACCAGCTCATGAAAGAGTATGTCAATATCTTTGAATTTGACCTATCATCTGGGGCTAAGATTTTCACATGTCATCCGATTCCAACTAGGGATGCTTGTCTAATCAAAGTTCCTGTTAAAAATCAAGATTTTATATGCAAATGTCAAAAGGATGTTGTAAAAGGGTGTTATTCAAAAGTTGTGGAGTCCTTAGGCATGTGAACCTCATCTTATGACAAAATCTTATGGGAGTATTTGTTTATGCATCGACTATTATTCGTTAAACAAAGTGATGATCTTGGATGCGTACTCTCTTCTTCATATTATTGATCTCTTAGATAGTCTAGGAAGAAGTCGTTGATTCACCAAGCTCGATCTTGCTTCTGGGTATTGGCAAGTACTGATGGCTAAAAAAGATATTCCTAAAATTGCTTTTCGTACACCATTTGGTTTGTATGAGTTTTAGTGATGCTGTTTGGTTTGAACAATGCTCCAACAACTTTCTAACAGATGATAGATGAGGTTTTTTGTGATATGCCGAGGTAACTACTAACTTCATTAATGATGTCTTGATCCACTCGGAGGGGACATGAGAGGAATACGTCTATGATATTTGTAAAGTGTTGGATCGACTATAGGATGTTGGTTTAAAGCTGAAGCCGTTTAAGTGCATGTTTGGGTTCAAGGACACAATTTATCTTGGATACTATATTTCTCGTAAGGGTTTACAAGTTGATTTTGACAGATTTATGGCTATTCTAAAGTTCCCTACTCCAAAGTGTGTGAATGATTTGCAACACTTCCTAGGCAAGGTGTAGTATCTCAGTTGTTTTGTGGATCATCTTTCTGATCATACTGCACCGTTGTGAGTGTTGTTGAAGTCATCAATATCATCTTTTATCTAGTCTCCGGATTGTGAGCAGGCATTTGTGGATCTCAAAGAGGTATTAACGACTCCTCCGGTTTTGGCATATCTTGACTACATTCAACCTTTCATTTTGCATGTGGATACTTCTAATATTTGTCTTAGAGGTGTGTTGATGCAAGAGAGGCCAAGTGTGTTTGGTCAGTGCCATCCCATTGCGTATATAAGTCATACATTACAACCAATGGAGGTGAACTACTCCATGATTGAGAAGGAGTCTTTACAAGCAGTTTAGGGTTTCGAAAAACTTCATGCATATTTATATAGTTTTTGGATGTTACTTGAAGGTGATCATGCTGGCATTACTTCATTATTGAAGCAGAAGAACCTGGTTGGTCGAATTACTCAGTGGGTTTTGAAGCTTCAAATATATAATTTTGATGTTATTCATCACCTAGGGAGTTCTATAGTTGATGTTGATGCCCTTTATTGAGCTCGTCTTCCTTCTTCACTCTCTTCTCATGTTTCTGACGAGCCTATTGTTCCAACATTTGTGGATTTTTCTAGATAAGGATTTTATGCCATTGGCGGTTGTTGTACTCGATGTTTAATGCCCACAAGATGTAGAGCAAGATCTACCTTCTCTTGATGAGGTTCACGAAGCTCAAAAGATTGAGTTGTGGATTTGAAGATTTTGAGATGGGTTTGAGAATCTTGCATCATTTGTTGATGATTTGCCATTCTAGCATTTACATTCTCAATATTGCCTTGAAAATGGCCTTCTTTATTTTGTGGGGACGGATCTTGATGATGCCTTTATGGCTAGTGGTGCCTTCCGTCTTTATTCCACGGTTTCTCCATGTTTACCATGATTGTCTTGTTCTAGGTGGGCATATGGGACATCATCATGTGACCAAGAAGCTACGCACGTCTTTCTATTGGCCGGATGCAACGTGATATTATCTGGTATATGCATAGCTGCATTTGGTGCCAAGCTTGTAATACTCCCCCTCGTGTTGTGGAAAGATGGTTAGAGTCAATTGCAATTTCCTATCTGTTTGAGTTAGTGGCATTTGATCTTATGGGACCTTTTCCATGATTGACTGCTAACAATGAATATGTTATTATTGCTTCTGACTATTTGACTCGTTGGGTGAAAGTTGGTGCTTTTGCTAGTGCTTTTGTAATTGTTGTTGAATACTTCCTCCTCAATCGAGTGGTGTTCCAGCATTTTTGTCTAGAGTGGATTTGTTTGGATAATAGTCCCGCATTTATGGCTAAGGCATTTCATGTTTTGACATCTTGGTTGGGGATACGCCACACTTTCATGAGTGCTTATCATCCACAATTAAATAGTTTGGTGAAACGGTTTGTTTAGACATTCAAAGGAATGATCGCAAAGTACATGAACTTTCAGCATTCAGATTGGGATGGTTATTTGCCATATCTTCGATATACATATGTCACAGAGGTGTAGAGTTTTGTTGATGTTTCACCATATAAACTTATATAGTCATAATCTAATATTACCAACAGAGCTAGGTTTACTTTCGCAATTGCCATGAATTGCCGATGTTAAGTTGTGAAATTAATATTTGATGAGCATTTTTCCATTTTCCGAGCAAAATCTACCATAGAACTCCCATTATCATCCACCTACAAAGCATAAAATGGATAACTTAATATTAGTTTATTTTCCCTATCTTATGGTACATAGTTTATTTAAGAGGTTCTTTGCGCAGTGGAAAGGACCGTATAAGGTGTTGTAGCCATTCACCCAATTGCTGCTCTTCAAGAGAGTGGGAAATAATCTACAATGTGCTAACTGAAGTAAGACTTTAGATCCCTGTACATGACAACCAGACATTCCATCTTGTCTTGCTATTGAACATAGAACAACAAGCTTCTCCTTTCTTCTTGGCACCGCTTTCCATCGCAACATGATAACTTATAGTAAAACATGCCACGTGGCACACTTTAGCCCTTGTAATGAAAAGAAATTAAAAGAATTTCATTTAGGGCATAAGCGAGCATGGCGATCGGCTCTGCCTTCGATCGGCTCCGGGAGCAGGAATTGCTTGTGGACGTCCTCCTGCGACTCGATTTCCGCAGCGTCGCCCGGATGCGAGTGGTCTGCTGCTCCTGGTACCGCATTCTTTCCTCTCGCTCGTTTCTAGATCGCCACGGGAAGCAGCAGCATCATGGCATTCCCTGGGTGGTACGGACGATTCTTTCCCGTGGCGCCCAATCCGCAGTCCTCTGGCGCCCTTTCTCCGGCCGACCACTCGAGCCCACATCTCTGCCTCTCGGTCCGCCTGGAGTTCCCTCTACAATGTTTGCGAGCCATGTCACGGCAAATGGGCTCGTCTGTGGCACGCTTGCTGGGTGGCCGGAGACGAAATGGCCTCGCTCACGGTCTCTGGCTGTGGGCAATCCGCTCACAAACTCTTGGAAGGTGCTCCAGTGTCCCGAGAAGGTTTTCTTGATCGAGGCGATGGATGTGGATCTTGAGACAGGGATCTACCGGATTGCAGTGCTTAACATCATTGATGAAGAGGACGTGGCCTACATTCTCCAGTACAATTCTGGCTCCGGAAGCTGGGCGCTGGGGGGATCCACGACTGCTGGAGACCTGTATAATCCGGGTTACAACCAAAACGAGGCAAAGGAGGATGGCTTTTACGACCTAGACACTATGTCATGGAAGCGGGAAGTGGTGAGTGAAGATCCCTTCGGCTACTGGGACGGGAGTATTTTGGAGGCAGGTGAGGAGGGCTTGAACTGGCCTGTTTGATGTTTTCTTTACAGAGGAAGAAGGATTTTGCTTGTTCACAGGGAAGGTGACAAAGATGGGATACGGAGAGCTGCTCTAAGCGTGCTAGAAAAGGATGAAGAGCTTGGTAAATGGCTCACACTCAGCCATACTCTCATCCGGGAAATACTTGGTGGTGAGTGGCCACTTGATGACATTGACATTCATGGTGAACAGTGGATGGCCCATCTAGCAGGCGATGTGATCGTTGTCTCCAGCCGCATGTATCCTTTGTTAGCGTTTCATTTGGTGGAGAAGAAGTGGGAGTATTGTGGCCACTCGGACGAGGAACTGGTCTTCTTTGCCAGTCTCAACTATGGGAGATCTGAATTTCCAGACATTCGGGCCTACACCTTCGCACCCAGCTTCGCAAGGCCATGAATCAAAGAAAATATGGCTTTTATGTATAAGTATAAACTTTTGTGTTTCTTATTCATAATAGGCGGATGCCAAAAATACCGGGGTTTATAAAAATCTCGCTGACCACGTGGCATTTGACACTTTTTAGGGTTTTGTGGTGTCACTGGGGCTAGCTTTTAGGTTTTGTGGGCTAGCTTTTAGGTCTTGTTCATTGATGGGGTGCGATGGAAATGGAACGCGTGCACGAGGCGATGATGACAAGGTATTTCTTTAATTAAATATTTGTAATATGCACTTGAATGTATTCTGATAGGGAACAGAGGAGCCGATCAAGCGTCGTGGAGGATGGAGCAAACAAGAGCATATGGCCTTGATACGTAAGCGCCAGGAACACCTGCGGAGGCCAGAAGAAAGAAGGAATTTGTCTCGTGAAGCTGTATTGGAGGAGATTGCGGAGAAAATCCAAAGCAGAACCGGTAGCCAATGCTCCCGTGAATGGAGGATTCTTGTTATAATGTACAGGAGTCTGAAGTGTCACTTCAGTAGGCATCCTGAACAGTATTTCCCACTTTCTAGAGAATACTATTATGGCTGTGGGATCCACAAACATATGGACCAAGATGTTTTTGAGGCAATGGATGCTTTTCTTCAATACAAGGTTAGGTGGAAGTAAACCGTTTAACATGAATAAGAAAACCTCCATTCTTAGTAGAAAAAGGATGTTAACAAACCAATAGAACAAAGAAATTGCAGATATTTTCTAAATATTAAATACCTTCCAGGAAAACTTTAAGAAAGTTATTGATGTCAAGAGGAACTTACAAAACTTGTTCTCTTTTCTACCTTTATTCTCTAGAAATTGACATTTGCCTATGCTCAGGTGGTGGATGTCAAAGTTAGCAAAGCTGTTGGCAGTTTCAATGCATTTTCCTTGCAAATGAATTTGTTGTTATATGTGGCCAATCATGTGGACTGCCACGTGTGACACTTCAATATAGTCTCATGTGATAATGCCCCACAAAAAGCTTAGTTGTGAGTTGAGGAAGGAAAATTACAAAATTATAAATATGTTATTATATTGTTTTCTTTTTTCTTTAATTTCTTACTTACACATCATCTCACACTTCAATGGAACATCAATGGATTCTCTTTTGTCTGTGCACATACATTAACATCATCACTCCTTCAATTGATAAGTTTCTATTTTATCTTGATTCATTTGCATGTGTTTTGGTTAGTTGAGATGTTTGTTTATTAATTCATTGAGAAAGCCTTAATTTACAATGCGATAAGCATTTGTTTCTCTCTCTCTCGATACACAACCTGTATTTATAATAATAAATATTATTTAAAATAAATAAGCAAACCAAAGGTGTTTTAAATTTGTTAGAATTTTATTTTGTTAAAAGTATTTTATATCATATATTTCAATAAATATTTTATATGTTCAATTCCTCATTATTTAAAAAAAAGGATTTTTCAAGGGACATCTTTAATAATTATGTGTACTAAATAGCAAAGCTTGAAAACAAGTCATTGCTTCAAAGATCTCTTGGTCCATATGCAATGCACAAGGATCGCTTGTGACCATTCACCTCTTTAGAGAGTGGGAAATAGTCTGTAGGGTCCCGCCTAGATCCTTGGACATGACAACCAGATTCTGCCAGGCACAGTTGCATCTGCTAATGGTTACACCTTCCATCTTGTTTGCAATCTGCTGCCATTGAACATAGAATAACAACTTTTTCCTTTCTTCCCAGCACAGCAAGTATTCATGTGCTTGAGGCGTATCAAGGCCATATAATCTGCTTTCATCCATGTTTTACTACGCTTGATCGGCTGCTCTGGTCCCTATCCAAATGAAAGCATATTCAAGAAAAAGCTTTAATAGTACTTTTGATGATAGATACCTTGTCATCGCCTCGTTCCCGCTTTCCATCGCAACCCATGAGCCATCAAATTAATTTCATTGAGATAGAGCTAGCCTTGTTCTTGGTGGAAGAGGAGCTGGATAGGGGCAGCCAAGGCAATTGTCAGCATAAGTGAGGGTAGATCCAGCTACTTGGGTTGATGGCGTAAGAGGTGGAGATCCAGTTACTGACACAAAATAGCCACATATAGTTCCAGCAACTATATAGTCTTCAAGGGAGAGCTTCTCGATCTTCAACGGAGATCACCACCACCGCAGATCGATGCCTTTCAAGAACATGCTCTTGCTCGTATTCTTACAGCGACTCCTCCGACCACCACCATAAAATCTTGCACGTTACCACAACTTTCAGACCACCTTTGATTCAGTCAAGCACCACCATAAGTACGGTGATGGTTGCTGGTGCCGGCCGTGTGACTCTCCACACTTGGCCGTGCCACATCTTTGCGTGCAAGAGAGCCACAAAACCTTCTTTTACCACTTTGGAGTTACCTTTTACCTTTGAACGTCGGGAAACTTGCGCAAGAAGTTGAGCTCCAGTCTAGGCATGTAGCTCCTCCACTGCTTGCGATCCTGACTCGAACAGCAGCTAACGAACCTCTGGGTTTGATGGCCAATTTTTCATTAGTTAATGAGCAAATCCAAAGAATCGGCTGCTTTGTGCAGCACCTGCGTGAAAGGCCTGGCCTTCACCGTCTCCGCATCAACACACGCCTCTCAGTATTTCTAAGCTGCTCTCAAGCAGGTTTCGTTTTGTGTCTGTCCCTTTCCTTCATAGCTTTTGAACTATTTACACTCTCGTGCATCACTTGAGATTTTAGACTTTTATATTTCCGACGGCGGCATACCATGGTCTTTCAGCTGTAAGGTGGCTGCAGCGTGCCCGAAGTTACACTCTTTCTCGATTTCCTGTGAATCGATTGTAGGTACGTATCCTCGAGAAGTCAAGCTTCACGAATTCGTTCGCTGCTGCTTGAAGATGAAATCAGCTGGCTACGGAAAATCCAAGAAGTTGTCCTAGTTTGTGAGTTCATGCCCTGCTCTAGAGATGCTTGTGCTCTACTGGCCAAGATTCTCTGCTCTACGAATTCATGCTCCACAGTTCCAGTCTCAAGTTTCTCAAGTGTCTTGGAGTTGAACGTCATGACAAAAGCGTTAAACTGAATGCTCCGAACCTTGAAGTCCTGGATGTGGAAGTTAGTAGTAACGGAGGATTGAACCAGCTGCATAGCTTGAGGCTTAGCTCATCTGTTTGGCTCATGGCTCGCGTACGACATCTCTCTGTCAAAGACGCTTCACGCATCAAAGATATTACCGCTGTTCATGTCTTTCATGTTCGAGATTTGTTTATTGGCAACATTGTCGAGGTATAAGCCATTTTTTGGTTGGCAGTTGGTTTCTAGATGGTTCTTAATTTGTGGCAGATTATACCAAATTCTCAAACAAGTTCTCTGAGAATACCGTCTTTGGAAAGGGTGGCCAGAGACTGTCATGCGGCAAAGAAAGTTACTGACATAGAAAGCTTCGTTTCCGTTATCCTCACTCATCACCTAAGTTGGAGCTCCTTCTGCTCATGAACTTGCCTTCCAGGTATAGGAAGAATGTGCCGTGTGATCCACGAGTAAGAATAGCACGTTCCGAAGCTGATAAAAAGCTTGTTCAAGCAATCAAGTTTGTTCCACCGTTTGAGGATGAGTGCACATTACCTGAGCTTCCTCCAGGCCAACCAGTTCAAAATTGATGACATACGAATTGTATACTCAACAAAGCAGCAGGTGAGTAGATATAATGCTGTTTTCAACCAGTACTAATCCATATTGTTCATGTAGTGCCTGATTTCTATCACACTTCTGGCGGAGATTGAGAAGCTTGCTTGTGAGTGCAGTAATGCAACATTTGGAAAAGGCAGATGCTCTGCATGAGACATTCAGAAAGATTATGATGCTGTTACTGTTGAATATTGTTGGAGAAAAAATAACAATTTCAAATATATAAATACAAAAACTAAAATTGCAATAACGTTTAGTAGTGTTATCAACAAAATTTATAATTCATAAAAACAATCTTCAACCATAAAATAAACTAGAATATACTGGGAAGTGTTTAGGATATAAATATAAGATTAATCTAAACGAATAACAACCATTAGATGGTATAATATCCCAAAAATATCTAAGAATATTTTAAATATATCCATTACCACTCACAAGTTTGCTTAAATAAATATTTCTAAACTATAAACATGTTTAGCGATTAATTTCTTAAATTTAAACAAGCTTAAGTAATGGTTAAAAATACTACATTCATACAGAACCCTAAAAAACAAGCTATAGTCCTTGGGATGAGAGTGTGACACTTCTTGAATGTCAACGTGAGCCTATATCCCGATTTAACTTCCTCCACTTCATGCTCACAGTCAGAATAAAACGTTGCCCAGTGGATATTGTTGCTGCTCTGGTTCTCCTCGACTTGAAGTGTCTCCTCCACTTTTCCATGTCGCACTATAAGTTTCCCACCACTGTGATTGCCCGGAAGCACTACACCAGAGATGCAACGAGGCCATCCTGAGGTGTATCTATGTCTGTTTTGAAGTAGTCCCCAGCTCGGTATAGATTCAGCTTGTGCAGCTGAGGTTGGTTGCGTTTGGGACTAGTGTGTCCCTCACTATGTCCAAAATCCCATAGTTTTCTGGATGGAAGTCTGTCACGAACTCTTCAGGATTGAGCTTGACAGACTTGCGATAGCTCGGAATCATAAACATACGTTTCTCAGTGTCTCATCCAGAGCATTTACCATTTCCAAATGTTGCATTACTGCACTCACAAATCTCCACAGCTGATGCCGGAAGTGTCAGGCATTACATGAACAATATATGGCTTGGTACCTGTTGAAAACAACATCGTTTTAAGTTGAGAAAGCTGGAAACAAAGCTTTCTATGTCGGTAGCTTGCTTTGCAGCATGGCAGTCTCCGACCACCCTTTCCAAAGACGGCATTCTCAGTTCAAATTTTCGGTTCGTTACGGCTGGCCGAAAGTCAAAACCACGAATCAAAAGAGTTTAATGCCTCCACGATCTTGTCAATAAACAAATATCAAACATGAGACACTCCGATGTGTGGAAGCCTTTCGACAGAAAGATGTTGCACGCCAGCCATGAACCACCAGTTTCCCTCAGCAGATGAGCTTAGCTGCCTCAAACTATGCAGTCCAATCTTCCATTACTCCACCAAAACATACCCATATCCGAGGTTGGGAGCATTCAGTATGAGGCTTTTGTCATAACACGTAGTTCCAAGGCACTTAAGGAACTTGAGACTGGAACTTTGGAGCACGATTTCGGCTGACCAGTAGAGCACAAGCATCTCTAGAGCAGGGCACGAACTCACAAACTTGGAAAACTTCTTGGATTTTCCATAACCAACTGACTTCACCTTCAAGCAGCAGGGAACCAATCCGTCCAGCTCAACTTCTCTAGGATACGTGATTTCTAGAAAGAGTGTGAGTTCGGGCAGGTTGCAGCCGTTGGATACAAAACGAAACCTGCTTTAAAGCCTCAAAGAGCCTAGAAATGTTGACAGGCGGCGACCTTTCACGCAGGGTGCTGCACAAAGCAGCCTCGATCACCTCGGGATCATCAGGAAACAAAGTTGAGCTCCAGTCTCGGCATGTAGCTCCTCCACTGCTTGCACACTTGACCTAGCTCCAATGCTCGAGCCAGATCTGAACAAAAGCTCAGGCCCTCATCCTCACCATGACAGGGTAATAGCTTTTCATAGCTTTTTAGCAACAAGGTTTTTCTGCACATCGAGGTCACAACGGAGCTCGAGCTCAATCTTCTCGTTTTCTTGGTTTTGATGCGGTGCTGCTGTGCCGGATGAGGTGCTCATCCAGATCATGTCGTGTTCCTCAAGCAACAGGTGGGCGCGCCTAGCACTCCATCCGCTTGTTTTGCAGGCCTCCGCCAGCTTCTTTCAGCACCAGCCGTATTGCAGCCCCAAAGGCTCTACGCGTTGAGCATCTCCGCCGTCAGCCCGCAGCAAGTTCGATGGCTTCTGTCCAAAATGTCGGCGTGCAAGGAGCAACTCTGTCTCCCCGTCGAGCTCCTCTTTCTCACCCTCCGCGCAAGCCATTTGCCCAGTTTGGGCATTTGTTCCAAGCTCGACTGATTCTTATTCCTAGCTGCACTCTCATCAGCTGCCCTGAAAGTAGCCTTCGGACTTCTCGACCTTTTTTTACAAGTGAATTCTTCGAGCTTTGGGAGTTCAGAGGAGCTCAAGGCTTTGAACCGAGAAATTGTGCTCCAGATAATGGAGCTCGCGGCGACACACAAAAACTCTCTTTTTCTCAAATTTTCCTTTACTTTTGCATGGTTCTCCAGGCCAGAGTGACACAGTCGTATTCTAATCTTCACACGCGTATAAATCCACGTGCACACGCACTGTGAGAATTTATGTGTCACTTGATTGTATCGTCATCTTCATATCGACCGAACTTCTTCATGAACAATCAAATTCCTGGGAAAATTGAAGGAACAGATATAGCTTGTGACTTTCCTTCCAATCAGTGTGCTTGATCAATCTCATTCGCTGCAACGCTTTCTAAGAACGTTCAAACACAAGGTAATTGAATCTAGAGAGTTAACTACATGGACACGAGTACAATCTAAACCACAGTGTGTGTCCTCCTACGAACATTGTAAACAACGTTGAATGCATGTTGTGTCAAAGATGGTCTAGATTCTGGACTCCAGAACACGCACTAACACCGAGCATCGTGGGATGCAGCCGACATTGTACCTTGGACAGGGATTGGAATAAAACAGATGTAAAGCCAGAATCACATCTGCCGCCCATATTAACTTTGGGAGGGACTTTGGGCAAAGAGAACCTAAAGTGAAGGGCTCTAATGGAATACTGAGTTGGCCTCAAATAAAGAATTCAGCGAATAAAGCCTCAAGCGTGATCATCTATAAAATAAATGCCAGTGAACCGTAATGAAAGCGGGCGGGAGGCCGTTTAGGAGATAAAACGCTGTGATCACAGTCTTGGAAGCCTTTGGAATCGAGACGCCATGGCAAGCGGAAGGAGAGGAAGTGATCGACATGCGGCAGCTGCTCTGCAAGAAACCATGGTAAGCAAGAAAAAACTCTCTCTCTAATCCATACCCTTCCTTTTTTTCTTTTCGCCTTGTGAATCCAGGAAGAACCTTGCAGTCGTGCTTTTCGTTTGAAGCTGTGTCACAACGAAAGCATCAGATTAGTGATGGTTACGTTGCAGCTAAGCATGCAGGCTCTGGTGGAAACCATCAAGAAAACTTTCAGCGAGCTGAAGAGCGCGAGCGGCATCGTCATCAGCTACGGCGACTCGGAAGGAGAAACAATCACAGTCGAGACGGACGAGGACCTGAAACTAGCACTCGGGGACATGTCTGCGAGCCAGGCCGTGCCAAGGTTTTCGGTGCGAGAGAAAGCAATGGCGACGGGTCTTGCTCCTGCAGAGCCTTCCAGTCAGGCAGGACCATGCAAGTTTTTCCAGCGTGGCTACTGCCGAAATGGATTAAGATGCAAGTTTTCACACTCGAGCAATAACAGCAGCACCGGAAGTACCAGCATCGTGAGACCGGTGCTGCTGTCTGCGTGGTCGATTGAGAGGTGGCTCGAGAATCTGATAGGAAGATCCCCGGCAGACAACATCGAGGAGCTGAGCTCGCCACCGGGACTAGAGATGCTATGCAAGGTAGCTTCAAGCTTGCAGCTCACGCGCAAGGCGGCTGATATGCTCGCGAAGCTGCTGACCAGGGATGAAATGCGGTCTAGCATGCTCAGGCACGAGACAAATAAGATATATGGATCTCTGGCCGAGTCGAGGTATGCGATGCAGCTCCAAGCTCACATGAACAATCAGATGCCACGCACGGACGAAGGTTTGAAGCCATACCTGTTGCTGATTGAAGAGCTGCAGCTGCGAACTTCCGATGGATGGAAGTATCTCCCCCTAGACGCCGCCGAGAAGCTGATCGCAGAGCTTCCGGAAACGCCCCTGAGGGACGAGCTAGCCGAAAGGTTGGGCGTACTGCTCGAGCACAGGAGAAAACTCTGGCTGCAAATGGCCACATCAGATCCTGACGCAAGTTTACAGGCAAGTTCTGATGAAAAGAGATTGTTTTTCGAAAAACTTACGTGGAATGACGATGCAGGGACCGGAGTTCCGCAAGATACCGATAATTCCCAGCAAGGACGAGCTCCTCAGCGTCATCCCAACCGCAGTTCCGGTCAACAAAGTTGGGCTTCGTTACACCTCAGTTCTGGAGTACTTAGAGACGCACTTCCGGCTGCTGCGAGAGGACTTCATCAATCCACTCAGGCAAGGGATAAAGCAGTACATAAACAGGCAGGGAGGATACTTTGCGGAGGTGAGGATATATAGCAATGTGGAGCTGAAAGGAGTACGTTTCACACTAAACGGGATAGAAAACAAGGTGTCGTTCGTTGCAGAGAAAGTCAGGAACAAAACGAGGGAGATAAACTGGGAGCAGAGCAAACGGTTGATGTTTGGCTCCTTGCTGTGCATGTCAAGGGATAACTTTCAGACCATTACCTGGGCAACGGTGGCAGGAAGGAAAGAGTTGGCTCAGAATATGGTGGACCTTCGTCTTTTAGATGGAAGTGATCTCGACGCATCATCCAAATACGTCATGGTCGAGTCTGCAGCAGCATACTTCGAAGCTTATTCTCATGTTTTGAAAAGCTTGCAACGAGAGGACATGGAAAACATACCTTTCAAGTCGCATTTGATATCGTTAGAGAAGCATGTGAAGGAGCCAGCGTACTTGTCACAGAGAGCAGAGGGCGATAGATACGACTTCAGCTCTGCTTTCCCTGGAGGCACGAAAGAATTCGGTCAGTTCAAGTTTCATATACTGCAAGATTGGCCTGAGTGGAACTCAACCCTGGACTCGAGCCAGGTCGCAGCATTGAAGCACGCTTTGACGAAAAACCTCGCACTGATTCAAGGACCACCCGGCACTGGAAAGACGTTCGTCGGGATGCTTATCGTGAAGTTGCTGCTTGCAAATCTAAAGAGGGAGGCTACAAAGACAGGACACTTTAGCACTGCAGAAGATGTTCCCGACCTCTTTGGACCTGTTTTGATTGTCTGCTATACGAACCATGCACTGGACCAGTTCCTGGAAGGAGTTTTTCGTTCTGAGAAAAATGTGATCAGGATAGGAGGTCGAAGCAAAAACAAGCAGCTAGATGGCCGCAACCTGCAGACTCTTGTACAGCTGGCAAGGGAGAACCGGGATGTGCAGGGAGCTTACGTGAGAAAGGCAGTGGCTGCTAGAGACGACCGGAGGCGACTAGAGGCAGAAATACGCCGGTGTGTGGATGAGCTGAATCTTCCCTATGTGTCAGAAACTCTTCTTCACGGTGTAGCGACAGAAGATCAGATAACAAATTTATTCTACCTGGGACGCACGAGCGCATTAGCAGGAAAGAAGGTGGTAGAAGCCTGGCTGGAAGCTGAAAATCTCAGATACGTTGATGTTCCAGCTCGAAGAGTTGAGCAAGTAGCTAACAGGTATGTCGTTCTGGATGATGAAGTCGAAGCAGCGGACCTGCATGACCAAACGGTAAATGTTCCCCGCGAAGAAGGGAGACGTACCCAAGGCTTGGCTGCTCCAGGGGGCGGTGGTTGGGTACACGTCCAGACTCGGCGTCGGAGTCGTCCGGTTGAAGCAGTTGAGCAGCAGCAGGATCCAGTTGTGAACAATGCACACCGTGACGAGGTTCCACTTGAGCTCCTGGTAGATTATCCTGACGTTTGGAGCCTTCCTCTGAGGGAACGAAAGAGGCTGCACGAGTATTGGCTTGATGAGATACATGCCAACGCTCAGAAAGAACTTACCAGGTTCAAACAGGAGTATGAGGCCGCTTGCATTGAGTGCAAGGCAGCAGATAGTGAGGTCCAGTTGAGTTTGCTGAGGAGGGCGAAAGTCATCGGAATGACCACGACCGCCGCTGCTCGTTTGCATGACATTCTCGTAGCGCTCAAACCTGAGATTGTGGTCGTGGAAGAAGCAGCAGAGGTACTGGAGAGCCACATCCTTGCTTGCATAAGCCCGTATACCAAACATCTGATCCTCATCGGCGACCACTTGCAGCTGCGGCCATCGGTCGCCACCTTCAGGCTGGCTCAGAGGCATAAGTTGGACGTTTCCATGTTTGAGAGGCTGGTACAGAGCGGAGTCGAGCACACCATACTGAAGACGCAGAGGAGGATGAAGCCTTGCATTGCGAAGCTGATCTCGTCCATCTATCCACAGCTGAGGAACCACCCTTCTGTACTCGAGTATGAGGACGTGAAGGGAGTCAAGTCGAGTTTGTTCTTCCTCGATCACAATGCACCTGAAGAAGCCGGTCACGAAGCTGGAAGTAAAGTCAACCTTGCGGAGGCCAAGCTTGTTGTGGAGCTCTGCAGCTATCTCCTCAAACAAGAAGCATACGCCCCAGGAGATATAACGATACTGACCATGTACAAGGGACAGGTCCAGGAGATAAGCAGAAGGCTGAAAGACCGCTTTCAGTGTCGCCGGGTAACGGGAAGACCGCTTGGACCTGAAGCCGAAAACTCAGAAGCCACGGATAGTTGGATGCCGAGAGTGTCCAGTGTGGATGATTTTCAGGGAGAAGAAAACGATATCATTCTGTTGTCGCTGGTCCGGAGCAACCTGGTACCTGGTAAGGAAGACGAAGGCACCATTGGTTTCCTCAAAACTGGCAACCGCGTCTGCGTGGCGCTCTCCAGAGCTCGCAAGGGACTGTATATCTTTGGGAATGCACAGCTGCTGGCGCTCAAAAGTCCTCTCTGGAAAGGCATACTTCACGGTCTCCACCAAGACGGACTTATGGGCTCCAAGCTCGTCCTCTGCTGCCAGAACCATCCAGGTGTGGAAACGAGCGTGCAGCATCCCGAGGATTTTCTCCAGGTTGGCGATGGTGGCTGCAGCAGACCCTGTGAATATCAGCTGGAGTGTGGCCATGCCTGCCCGAGAAGGTGTCACCCGGAATCTCACGACACTTTTATATGTCCGAAGATGTGCCTCAAGCCATATGACGGATGCACCCATCGTTGCGTGAAGTCTTGCCACGGGAGGGAAGACCCGGCCTGTCCGCCATGCAAAGAACCGGTGCTGAAGACGCTTCCAACCTGCGGACACGAACAATCAGTGCCGTGTTCGACTGATCCTGCGAAACTTACTTGTCGGAGTCCATGCAAGAAGTTACTCTCATGCGGCCATGCCTGTCCGGAGCCTTGCGGATTGCCGTGTGCAAAGTCGTGCAGGCAAGTTGTCCACAAAGAACTGCCCTGCGGCCATGCGACGAAGATGATGTGTCCTCAAGATCCACGGACGTTTTCCTGCCTTAAGCCGTGCAGAGATATCCTTCCAGACTGCGAACACAGATGTGAAGGAACATGTGGTAAATGCAAGCAAGGAACGGAACACATACCATGCCAGCGGCCGTGCAAAAGAGATCTCTTTTGCGGACACCAATGCAAAGCGAGGTGCTCCGCTTCATGTCCACCTTGCTCGGAGCCTTGCCAGAAACGCTGCTTGCACAGCAGATGCGCCGCCATCTGTGGAGCACCATGCAAGCAGTGCCTCGAGCCTTGTTCCTGGAACTGCCGGCACTTCAGTTGCACGCTTCTCTGCTGCGAGATCTGCCAGAGACCACGCTGTGACAGACCATGCACGAAGCGGCTCGTCTGTGGTCATCCCTGCATCGGCCTGTGTGGAGAGCCTTGCCCAAGTGCCTGCCGCGTTTGCCAACCTGGTACTTTCGATGCAATCACACAGCTGACGTTGGAGGAATGCGAGAGTTCCGACAGATTCGTGGAGCTTCTGGACTGCGGCCACATCTTCGAAGTAACTGGACTGGATCAATGGATGGATATGGATGACAGTGCGGAAACTTCTTCCAAAGCAATCGTCCTTAAGTTCTGGTAAGTTGACCACCTTGATTCGATGTTAATCTATTCTTTTGTTTCTTTGCAGCCCCGCATGCAAGACGCCTGTTCGGAAGTCTTTCCGCTATGCGAACGTAGTGAAGAAAAAACTGCATCAGATAGAGCTCGTCAAGATGAAAGTTTATGGACATGAGCAGACAAGAGCAGGAATGGCCATGCTAAGCAGGAAAGAATACAGGCAGGCATTCCAAATTTTTGCGGAAGTCATCAAAAACCAGCCCGGGAACTTCGAAGCACACCTTGGAATGGCTCAAGCTCTATGCGGCTTGAAAGAATTCGGGTACGCAGTTACTCACCTCCGATTTATAGCCAAGAGAAGCAGCCTTGCCGCAGATATCCGAAGTTTGCCAGTGCCACGACTCAAGAGGCCATACACTCCGGTCCCCAGCAGCTTAGACTTGAGCTTTGTCGCAGCTCCAAGCCGGTCTCTCACGATCCAAGCGCTCATCCAGTGGGGATCGGCACTGACAAGCCTGACAGAATTCTCCGACGCTGTGAGACTCTGTGAGATCGTTCTCAAGCACGACAGCACCAACGGTAGCGCCAAACGCTTGAAAGAAATGGCGGAGAAACGACTAACTCACCAGGTAGTGGAAGCCGTGAGCGCCGAGTTCTCAGCCAGAGGGCACTGGTACCAGTGTCCAAACGGTCATGTCTATGTTGTGGGAGAATGCGGCGGCCCAATGCAGACATCGCAGTGCCCTGACTGTGGATCGATCATCGGCGGCGAGCATCATCAATCAGCTGCTGGGAACACGCACTCGACGATCGATGGGAGCGACCACGCGCTCTACAGCGATCATACCGGCATTGGAAATCTTCGCATCTAGCCCTACTAGGGTTTAAGGTTTAGTCATATATAAAACGAATATCCGTTCATGTCCCGTGAGCTGCTGTTCTTGCTGCAGTGTATGCCGATAATCCGAGAGCAAGAGGAAGATATCGCATCAATGCCGCAGTTGATATAGCTGAGGATCTCTGGCCATCTAAGAAAAAATAAATTCATGAAGATGGGGCCGAGATTCAAGCCGTGGAATCAGATGCGAGCGGCGCATTCGATGACCTGGAAGCGCTCCAGCTAATTCGCGTCCATGGCCGCGACAAGCAGGGCAGGAGAATCGTGCGAATCGTGGGCAAATTCCTTCACGGTGAGCTCACCCTAGCCGATCGAACCCTGGCATTTATTCTCCTCTCTCCTTTGCAGCGGCGATCATCGACATGCAGCGATTGCAGCGCTTCCCGGTGCTCAAGCTTGCGCGCTTTGAGCTCGAGAAGGTTGCTCCTTCTTTTCTTTTTTTTCTCTCTTCATTGTTTTTGTTTTGTTGCAGAAAAGGTGTTCTATCTTTTGGCACAGATTGGTGGAGCTCTTCTATGGAAACGACGCACCATCTTTGAAACAAGCATACTATGCTTTAGCTGTTGTGTTCTGCATTGGTCCGGAGGATGGAAATGAAGGCAAATACGTCACAGACGGAATATGACTGAGCTCGTTTGGACACGTAATCTGGTTGAACTTGAAGTAAAAGGATCTCGTTTAGCATATTGTCCGTCGCAGCTTGTTCCCTTTTATTCGCTGAATAGGTAACGAAAGTCAGAATGTGAAGCAAGAATTCTCACCACGGAGAAAACGCAAACCAGAGCATTCTTTGCTGGCTAAGTTGTGCTCCTAGAAAAAATATGAACACAACTTCTTCCATGGCTTCCTTGCACTTGTGTCTCTATAGAATACGAATTATATGTGTCTAGAACAATGCCAACAGAAAGGAAGAAGAGAAATGAGATTTTTTCTGGTGTGGTTTGAGTGAATTGAGCATGCATGTTTCTGAGAATGAGCCCCATGTCTTCCACTACTGAGAAGGCCTCTCCACCTGAACGTCGAGCTCCATCACCTGAGCACAAGCTCTCGGTTCAAAGCCTTGAGCTTCTAAACTCCCAAAGTTCGAGGAGAAAAATCAATCTAGCGAGGCTCCAAATTCCTTATAGCGCTTGTAACAGCAAACCTTTAAAAATCTTTTAGTATCCAAATATCTTATAAGAGATGAGTTCGTCTAGATGCAAACTTGCCTTCGATCAACCACGGGAGGCAAGAGCTTCTTCCAGGTTGAATCCACCAGGGAGAGTTTCGCCACCCTCCTCAAATCATGCGCAAGAGCCAACGATCTGGCCACCGGCCGGGCGCTCCACTTCGAGATCCTCCACAGCGATCACAACGGGGACAAGCTCCTGGACGAACTCCTCCTCCAAATGTATGGCAAGTGCGGCAGCGTGGAGGACGCCCGGCTCGTCTTCTCCCAGATGCGCCATCCAGGCCTTTCCTCCTGGAACATGATGATCGCCGCGTATGCCCGCAATGGGCATCTGGGCCACGCCAAGAACACCTTCGATCGAATGCCGCGCCGCGATTCTGTCTCGTCCAACACCATGATCTGGGCTTTCTCGCTGGGATCCAATCTCTCGGACGTGAAGAACACCTTTGATTTCATGCCCGAGAGAGATCTTCGCTCCTGGAACTCACTCGTCGCAGCAAATGCCCAAAAGGGGGATACCCATCTCGCCAATAGAGCGTTTGATCGCATGCCCGCCCGCGATGGCGTCTCTTGGAACGCGATCCTCTCGGCTTGCCTTGACAACCCGGATGCCGCGCAGGGGATCTTCCACGACTGCCCCGATCGAAGCATTGCATCGTGGAGCAGCGTGATCCAGGCGGTGATCGCCGCTGGGCAGATCCACCGCGCGGTGGAGATTTTCGAGCTCATGCCTGCTCGCGATGCCTGGGCCTGGAATGCGATCGTCACGGCGCATGGAGCGAGCTCCAATCCGGCCGCGGCGAAGAAAGCTTTCGATCAAATGCCCGGAAGAGATGTGGTAGCGTGGAGCTCGCTCATCCAGACTCTCCTCCAGTCCTCGAATCATTTCGCTACAGCGGAAGAGGCGTTCCAGCGATTGCCCGCCCGGAATGTGGTCTCCTGGACGATGATCTTGCTAGCGCGATCGCAGCGCGGCGACCTGGCCGCCACGAAATCCCTCTTCTCCGCCATGCCCCAGCGCGATCTCGTGGCCTGGAACGCGCTCATCACCGCGCACGCGCAGTGCTACCAGGAATCCAAAGCCATCTTCGATCGAATGCCCGCCCAGAGCATCGCGTCCTGGAATTGCCTCATCACATCCCTGTCGCTGGGCAAGAACACCGAGACCGCGAGGCAGATCTTCGACGCGATGCCACAGCAGGATTCCAACACCTGGGCCGCGATCATCACCGCCTACGCGCAGAACGGCCGCCTGGATCAAGCGCACGAGATCTTCCAAACCCTAGCGCTCCAAGATCGCCAAGAACAGGGCCAAGAACCCCAAGAACACCGCAATCTCGCGGCCTGGAACGCGATCATCGCCGCGCACGCGCAATTCGGCAATGGCGCCGACGCCGTCGCGCTGCTCCACGCGATGCTGCTCGAGGGATCGTCCTCCCCGTCCGACGGCTCCTTCCTGGGCGCGCTCAATGGATGCGCCCACGCCGGGCTCGTGGAAGAGAGCCGATCGATCTTCCAGGCGATGGCGAGCGACTATTCGATCGCGCCGCGGCTGGAGCACTACTGCTGCGTGATGGAGGCGCTAGGGCGAGTGGGGCAGCTGGATCGCGCCGAGGAGCTCATGGCCGCCATGCCCTATTTGCCCGACGAGGTGGCGTGGGTGGGGTTTGTGGGCATCTTCCAGATCCATGGGCAAGTGACGAGGGCGGTGGCGGCGGCGCAGCAATTCGTGGATGCCAATCCGGCGAGCGCGACTGCCCAGGTGCTGCGATCGGTGGTTCTTCGCTGGGCGGCGTCTGGCGCGCAAAACCGAGAAATTTGAAATAAGAATATTTTCTGTCAAGCTCTGGTATATGCTCGCATTTAGTTAAACTGGATTAATTCTGTTTTAATCAGATTAATTTCACCTAAGCGTTGTTTAAATGGATGACTAGATTTTAAATTAGTTTTTTAAAGCCTGGATTAGTTTGCTTTTAAGTGTTGTTATACTTGATTAGTGTTAAAATGGATTCCTGGATACATTAAACATTAAGAAGTTTGGAGTTCATCGAATTGTTTTTTCCTCAGCAAAGCAAACAATACAACAAACCTGGAGGAAGAAAAGGATTGAGCAGCAGCGCTACGAACATCCAACACTTGTCAAACCCACAGTGTTTGAACAGCTGCGGACAGACAGTGTGGATCCAAAAATCTTACCAATCCATCGTCCCAGTTTTTGGAACCTTTGTCGCAAAAAACACTGCCCAGATTCAATGCTTCCGCAAGATGATTCTCTCTTCTCCTCTTCTCCAACTTAACAGCTTCGCGAGCTCGCTTACTCTATTGCCAGATTCTCACGGCCGCCGCCTGCAAAAAAACAGCATTCGCTTACAAACCTCTATAAAATCCACGACTTAAGAACGAGAGGAAGATAAAACTTCGTACCTTTTGTCTTGTACGGATGATGGAGATGAAGCCACCGCTCTTCGTTGCGTGCTTCCTGGTTGCCGCCATCACCTGTAAGTCCATTTTTTCTTAGCAACTGGTCTCAAAGCTGTGGTTTTACCCTGCCATGAATCAGCAGGTGGAGCACATACCTGTGGCAAGTTGCGGGAGATCGAGAAGGGAGACACTTGTCTGTCGCTCAGTCAAGCTCTTAACTTGACACTCCAAGACTTCATGCTCCTCAATCCCAAGACGAACTGCAGCAGCTTGATCGTTGGCGAGGAGATCTGTGCTTCTTCCTGCTTCCGAAAACTGGTTTCTCCCAGATACGGCCAACGCCCCGTGGTCATGGATTACATTGGTGCTATGGGAAACTCCACCGCCTTCGACGACGTTCCAGTGTCACCAGATGTCGACCACTTTTTCATCCTCTCCTTCGCCATCGACGCAAATCGTTCCGGAATCGTTCAAAACGGGAGCTTCATCAGCTACTGGAGTGATGGTCTCACGCCAGAGAGCGTCTCTGCGATAAAATCCAAGCACCAAAACGTCAAAGTCCTGCTCAGTCTGGCTGGCTACAGCTTACAAGTCGATGGTCAGTCGGATCCTTGGATCGTTCGCTGGTATGACCCCTCCGACGCCGACCTGTGGATCGACAACGCAGTCAAGTCCATTAGCGCGCTCGTGCAAAAGTATCACCTGGACGGCGTCGACATCGACTACGAAAGCATGGACGACCCAAGCAACTTACGTCTCTTCCCGTTTTGCATCGGAGAACTGATCAAGGCTCTCAAGAGGAACAAAGTGATCAGCGTTGCCACCATCGCACCTTACGGAGCTTCGGCCCCTTACTACCGGAGCCTCCTCCGGTACTATGGCGACCAGTTCGACTACATCAACTTCCAGTTCTACTCCTACAGCAACGTCACCAATGCATACGACTACGTGCAACTCTATCACTGGATAGCCCAGGGATTCGACGAGAACAAGCTGATGGTCAGTCTAGAAATCGACGGGACTTCGGGACGAGGAGTGCAAGGAGCGGAATTTTTCAAAGCTGTGGAAGAGATAAAAAAGACACGCAAAGTACCGGGGATGTTCCTATGGTCTGCTGAAGGCTCTCAAGAAACCGGGTTCCTTGTAGAGAAGGTAGCACAGTGCACACTTTAGATGGAAGAAAAGCTCTAGATGAAATGGAAAAAGCACTCTAGATGGAAGAAGCATAAAATACATTGAGATTCAGAGTTAAGAGAAATCGAGAAAGGATAGACACAAGTACCTCCTAGCTAATAAGCTGGAATTCGCGAATAAGAGTACCCTTTGAACCCACGCCACGAGTAATACGCGATCCTCGTCTCATAGAACCCTGCCACGAGCAGCCACACAAGATATGAAACTCAAAGAAGGGAAAAACTCCTTACCTGGTAGAAAAACTAGAATTCCCAGCAGCAAGAACCCAAACGCCTGCGATGTCTCTCCGCCGATGTGAGCCGTGAATATCAGATGCGAGATTACGATGAAAATTGTCCCACAGAGCAGCAAGCCGATTGCTAGCAGGATCGATTTCCAAGGCACTTGATCGGGGATATCATACCTAAACCGCAGATCCTCGCCAGCAGGGCCATAATCATCAAAATTTCTCCTCCCGCCCTGCGATCGGCTCAATCCCTCGCTCGTCGGGACTCTGGAGTAACGCGTTTCTCTCATTTTCTCTAAGGAACCCTAAAATTTCTTCCAAGGGAAAAATAGTATATGCCCCGAGAGAATCTTCTAGGCATATTCAACCGTCGTTCATGGGAGGTTCCTTGATCCAGCGGCTTAGGTCTTGCAATTCCCTGGCCGAAGCTCATCAAATTCACGCCCAGATCCGTCGCGACGGCCTGGACGTCGATTGCTACACCTGCAATGTGATGATCCAGGCCTATGGGCGATGCGGCAGCGCCCAGCAAGCCCGATTGATCTTCGATGCGATGAAGAGCAGGGACAAATTCTCCTGGGACTCGATCCTCACGGCCTACACCCGCAATGGGCACCTGGAAGAAGCCTGGGCGGTCTACAACGCCATGAAGGAATGGGGGCTCTTTGCGATGAATGCGATGCTGGGCGCACTGGCGTCGATCGGCAGCATCCACGATGCCAAGCAATTCTTCGATTCGATGCCCGGAAGGGACCTTGTCTCCTGGACGCTGCTGCTCAACGCCCTGACGCGATTGGGGCTCTTGGACGAGGCCCAGGAGCTCTTCAATCGATTCCCCGAGACTGATCTAGTGGCCTGGACGACGGTGTTGATTTGGCACGCGCGTGGTGGGAGGCTAGCGCGCGCAAAATCTCTGTTCGATGCAATGCCGGAGCGCGATCTCGTCTCCTGGACTGCGTTGTTTTGGGCATTTGCCCAGGCGGGGAATCTCCAGGAAGCTAAAGAGCTGTTCGATTCCATTCCGGAACACGACACTGTAGCGTGGACGGCCATGATGTCGGCGTACGGCCAGAATGGCCACCTGATGAATGCCAGAAAGACGTTCGATTCCATTCCGGAACGGAACATCTATACGTGGACGGACATGATGATAACATATGCCGAAAGCGGGCATCTGGGTTTTGCAAAGAGAATGTTCGATTCTATGCCGGAATGGAATCTTGTGTCGTGCACCGCCATGCTAATAGCTTACGCGCGATCGGGACATTCTAAAGATGCCGAAAGAATATTCTATGCTATGAAAGAAACCAACACGTACACGTGGACGGCAATGATTGCGGCATTTGCCCAACACGGCCAAGTGGAGAAAGCAAAGGAGCTGTTTGAGAGAATGCCCGAGATTAACTTGTACGCGTTAACATCATTGTTGTCAGCTTACGCACAAAACGGGTATCTTAAGCACAGTAAGCTTATCTTTGATCAAATGGAAGAACATTCCATAATTTCGTGGAATGTGATGCTAGATATGTACGCCCAAGCCGGGCATTTGGAGGAATTGAAGTGCCTATTTGATTCTATGCAAGAAAAAGACCTAAGTTCTTACAATGTAATGCTGTCAAGCTTCGCACAACATGGTTACCTTAAAGAAGCGAAACTAATTTTTGATAGAATGGAAATCAGAAATCTAATATCATGGACTGCCTTGCTTACTGCATACGCCAAAAACGGTCATCTCGATCGATCCAAAAGGACATTTCAAGGCTTGCTAAGCCAAGATGCAATCCTTTGGAACTCGATTATTGGTGGCTTCGCACAAAATGTAGAGTCAAGGGAAGCGATCCAGCTCTTTTACGAGATGAACCTTGTGGAAACCCCGGACGAAGTCACATTTTTGTGTGTGCTCCTGGCGTGGTCACACAAAGGAGACGTGTTCTCTGGAAGAAGCTTGTTTCGATCGATTTGCTTTGATTTTGAAATGGCCCACAAGAAGCAGCATTACAGCTGCTTGCTGGGATTGCTCAGTCGAGCTGGTTACTTGAGCGAGGCTGAAGAACTCATAGCCACCATGCCATTTGCGGCCGAGAATTTAGACTGGACGTGTCTATTAGGAGCCTGTAAGAGTCACAGGGATGAGAAGCGAGGAAGTTTTGCGAGTCAAAACGTCTTGGGCTTGGACCCATCGAATGGTTCCGCTTATGTGTTGCTAGCAAATCTGTATTCGGCAAAAGAGAGAAAGAAAATTCCACACGTCATGTCGTGAATGACTGCAACGTTGGCAGCAGCAGTGCAGCATGATAGTTTATAACACAAAACGGGGCGTACACTGGTTACCCTGACATCTTCAAGCTATTACATTCTCTAGAACAATGCTTTTTTTTCTACGTGATCGCCATTCAGAATCTAATGGTTGGAATGTATCAGTTCTGGAGCCCGTCCTTGCTCCGGTCAAACGTTTGCGCCATCCCGACCTTGAGCAAGAGGCTGCTCAAGAGCCGAGAGCCTGAGTCAAGAGGATGTTGCTCTGCTTGTGGACCACGTCGACACAGACCAAGGCTGAGAAAGGTGGTGCAAAGCTTTTTTCTTGAAGCTGTTATGTAGACTTGAGATTGCCATGCAGCAGCAATCCATACTTGAGGCTGCTGCTGCCGGCACGATGTGAACGCAATTTTGTCAACTCGGACACCTTCTAGCCTCATTAGTCTGAAAAGCTTTGCCCCAATACCACTGTACTCGTCTCTTCGAGGTTGCCACGTTTGTTTCCAAACCTCCATAGCATGAACTTGTCCACAGAGCTGTAGCGCTTGCTGGATAGTTCTTCACAGATGAACTTCCTTCTCCTCCTCTTGTCTCGGCCTGTAGTTATAGTTTTGCTGGAAAGAAAGCCAAGAGTACAAGCTGGCACAATGACTGGGCTTTAAGGATCAACGCCTTGTTTGGGATGCCACATCGTCCAGATGTATGATCGTGCAACATGGAAAAAAGTCGCACAGCTGCTGCTGCTGCTTACTAATGATTCAGGGATCCGAACTTCTTATTGAAAAGAAATTAAATTTAAACCAAACAATAGAATGTTTATAAATTATAAATACTTTAAAATTTATAAACTTTATAATACCACTACATCATATATATATATAGAATATGCTTGTATATTCTAGGATATTCTCCATTTAATATTGAAATAAATCTTGTATTTTTTATTAATTGTGAGGTTCCATGCACTCACATTGGTGGAGATAAAGGGCAACTTTGATTGTTGTTAGGATTTAGAATTTTTGTTTAGATCTAGCTTTTGCATTGTTTAAATCTCCATTTTCATATACTTTTTCTTAACTTCTTCTTTTTGTTCTTTCTTTTTCATTCATCTTTATGGTAGAGTAGTAATTTCTTCCTTTGGCTTTGAAGTAACAATTGATTCAATTACTCAATGGTATGTAATTGCAATTGAATAATCTAAATTCAGTTGATGGTAACATTCATAGCATATGGTATAGCTCCTTTTGGTCTTGCTATCAATCCTTGCATCCGACCGGAGTTCTTCTGTTAGAATCTGGAAATGATATGTACTATTGGTTTGATCACTTTAAGGTGATTGTCACATATCATTTTTGGGATGATATTTGGTGTTTGCATAAGTTTCCCATGTGTCTTCAAGGGATGACATTGCAATAATACAATAGTTTGAATGCAACTACTTGTGAGGATTAAAACATTCTCCTAGACATCTTTAAATGTGCATTTAGATATGCCAACGATTGTGATAATGTTTTTCAACAATTGCATCATCTTCGCCAAGGGCCATTTGAATTTGTAATGCAATTTAGCATTTGTTTCTAAAGCCTTTTACTTCATGTGGAGCCAAATATATCAGAGCAGATCAAGTTAAGAATATTATGGCCAACACTTCGTCAAAATCTTGTAGGACTTGTGCATGCATTTGCTCTAGCCACCCTTGACAATACTCTTTGCTTGACATAACATTATGAGACGTTGTTTCTTCCATTTCTCTTTGCACGTCCTTCTAACTCCACTTCCTGTGGGAGATGGTCATATTTCAATGGAGGTTGATGCTGCTGCTACCCGAATTCAAGGATAAGGGCGAGGACGTGATCGTGACTGTGATGTCTATTGTTGGGCGTATGATAAAGTTAGTCACACTTATCAGTGTTGTCGGCATTTTCCGGATTGGTGACCTCCATTTTTTATGTGGAGACCTTGGCATCAATAACGTTTTATTGGTACTGCTGCAATGGAAAGTTTAGATACCAAGATGTTTCCGAGAAACAAAAAGTCACATAAATAATAGAGGGACCTTGTGCGAATAAGTTAATGACCCTTCCATATTTCTTTTAGGAGTATCATCAAAGGGTTCATTTGAGGCTTCTCATTCTTCTTTCCATATTGGTTGATATAGACATATTTTTATTTTCTATTGATCGGCCTATTGCCACACATTGCCATCTACATTTGCGTTGTGTGATAGAGCCAATTTTCATTCTTTATGGTAATGGCTCTTGAGTTTAGAGTTGTAATTATTATAAGTGGTGGCAAGTTAAGCTTTTGACTTCATCCTTAGTATGGATTGGTTAAGGTGCAACTATGTCAAATGTGACTTTGAGACTTTTCTCCTTTATATAATATTTCTTTATATTTCTTTCATTCCTTTCACTTTTGTTCCTCTTCATCCCTCTACTTCAATCATTTTTATCTCCTCATTAGATCCTTCTATATTTCCATTTTGTTCCTTTCTTCCCTTTTTCGATGCTTTCGATGGTCTTTGTGTTGTAGTGGTTAACTACTTCATAAAGGAGTATACTAATCTCTTTGAATTTGACCTGTCATTTAGAGTCAAGATTGCAACACGTCATCCTATTCCAACTAGGGATGCTCACCAAATCAAGGTTTTTGTTCATCATCGGTCACCCAAAGAGATCAATATTTTACATGTAAACGTTAAGGAGATGTTAGAAAAGGGTGTTATTCAAAAGTCACATGTGAACCTCATTTTGTGATGAAGTTTGATGAGATTATTTGTTTTAGCATCAAGTATCATTTGTTAAAGAAACTGATAATCCCAAATTTATACCCTCTTCCTCACATTGTTCTTTTCATACACTATTTGGTTTGTACGAGTTCTTGGTGATGCTATTTGATTTGAACAATGCTCCAACAACTTTCTAGCAGATGCTAGACGAAGTTTTTTGGATATGCCGAAAGTAACTACTGACTTTATTAATGATGTATTGATCCACTAGGAAGGAATGTGGGAGGAACACGTCTGTGATGTTCATAAGGTGTTGGATCGACTTTAGAAAGTTGGTTTAAAACTAAAGTGGTCAAAGTGCGTGTTTAGGTCCAAGGATACAAATTATCTTGGGTATAATATTTCTTGTGAGGGTTTGCAAGTTGATATTGACAAATTTGTGGCTGTTCTATATACTCGTGTTTGGGATAGTGCAAATTTGTCAATTGTATAGGCTCACTTACTCATCATTTTCTTTTAACAATTTCAAGGTTCTAATTTAGTTTTGTTGCAAATTAAATTCCAAGATAATCAAAAGTTAATCTCATCATTTCATGAGGTTGTGACCAAGAGGTTGTGTCAATGTTGTAATAGATAAACATTTCATCAAATCTTTAAAATTACATGTATTGTTTTTATAATTTAGCGTTTCATATAAAAGTGAATGAAGGTCTATTGTAAAATAGAGATGACCAAGTCATTCTAGCAAAATTCATATTAATGCATTTAGAGCAACTTGTTTTTGATAGCCACATTATATAGTAACTTCCAATAAGATTTATTGTTAACACTCAGGTAGCAAGTATTTTAAAACTCATTTACTAAAGAAAGAGAATTAATAAAGAAATCAATGCAAGTAATTCCTTATTTGAGAAACAATTAAAGTCCTTAAATGTGGAAAATGACTAAACCACCATGCTAGCTAAGTCTATAGTTTTATACATATATTCTGTGTAAACATTATCTTCAACCCACTATAAATGTTTAAGCTTGTATTCTTTCTTTGCATCTTTTAAAGTGCTTATACCTTTTAAATTTTAGCACAACCACTTGTGCTCATTATAGTATTTAATACATTTTTTTAATGTGTTCATGTAAATTCTACTCTTAATGGAGTTTCTTAGATGACTAAAACCTTATCTATACTGTTATTATAGACAATTCTAATTCCTCCTCAATTAGTTTGTGCTTTATTACTCATGAAATTGCAAAGCATTAATAGTGTTGAAGATGTTATTCCAACTAGGTATGTATTATTTGGTAGTGTTCAAAAAAGAATTTAAAATAGTATTTCTTTAAAATAACTATCACCGTCAAGAATTATGTTTATAAAAGGATTTTCTAATAAAGAGAGCTAGTAAATAAGGGAGTTGACAAGAATAATCTGATACACTAAAGAATATTCTATTAAATTTTTAGCTGCAATATTTTCATTAAACAGATATTTAAATAAATTAGTAATTTAAGTATTGTGAGGGCCAAGTGTATGGCTATGATACCGTATACTAATATTAGCATAGTGGGATTTTGGTAGCTATCAGATTGGTTTCAATCCAGACCACTTGCTTTTGTATATAAACTAGGATTTTTGGGCTAATTGATATACACATTTTCTATATTCCCTTTCCATATTCCAAACACTCACATTGGTGGAAATGAGGGGCATTTTTTATTGTCCCTAAGGAATGCTTGAATTTGGGATTTTGGTTTAGATTTAGCTTTTGTATTGTCTAGATCTAGCTTTTTCCATTTCCTTTCTTTTGTTCTTTCTTTTCAAGATTTTGGTTTAGACCTAGCTTTTTTATTGTTTAGATCTTCCTTTCCTTTTAGTTTTTTCTCATTTCTCTTCTTTTATTTTATCCTTTTCATTCATTTTCATGGTAGCGCAACAATCTCCTCTTCTGACTTTAGAGCAGTAGTTGGTGCAATTGCTTGATGCCATGCGATTGCAATTGAACAACCAAACTCAATTGATGGTGGCATTCACAGCATATGGTACAATTCCTCCTACTCTTGGTGCCAATCTTTGCGTTCGGCCAGAGTTCTTTCATAGGAATCTTGGGGATGATATGTACCATTGGTTCGATCATTTCACGGTGATTGCCATATATCATTCTTGGGATGATGTTCAACGTTTGTGTGACTTTCCCATGTGTCTCCAAGGGACGATGTTACAATGGTACAATGGTTTGAGTGCAGCCACCTGTGGGCATTGGAGTGTTTTTCCGAACATCTTCAAACGCGTATTCAGATATGCTGACAATTATGATGATGCTTTCCAACAATTGCATCATCTTCATTAAGGGCCATTTGAATTAGTGATGCAATTTTGCATTCGTTTCCGAAGCCTCTGGCTTCGTGCGGAGTCAAATATGTTGGAGCGGATCAAGCAATGAATGTTGTGGGCAGCACTTCATCAAGATCTTTTCGGACTTATGCATGCATTTACTCTAGCCACCCTTGATAATGCTCTTCGCTTGGCACAACATTATGAGATGTCGCCTCTTCCTCTTCTTGCTGCACGTCCTTCAACTCCACTTCTTGTGGGTGATAGTCATGTTCCAATGGAGGTTGATGAAGTTGGTCACACTTATCAACGTTGTTAGCGGTTTCTAGATTGGCAACCACCATTTCCTAGGTGAAGACCTTGGCGTCAATAATGTCCTGTTGGTGTTGCTGCAGTGGAAGGTTTGGATAGTGAGATGCATCTGGGAAATGAGAAGTCACGCAAGTAATAAAGGGACCTTGTGCGAATAAGTCAACGACCCTCCATCTTTTTTTCGGGAGTATCATCAAGGGGTTCATTTGGCACCAGTTTATCCAATATTTACTTTCCAAACTCAATTTTATAACAAATAGTTTTCTATTATTTTCTTTGTGTTAGTTGATATAGGTTTAAGTTTATCTTCTATTGCTTGACTTATTGCTACACGTTGCCGTCTACACTTGTGTCGTGCAGTGGAGGTAATTTTCATTTTTCATGGCAATAGCCGTACACATACATGTGCATGGGATGAGGTGGACTTAATTGTGCGTGTGGGCGATCTTGAGCTTGGGTTGCAATC